GGGTTGCATTTTGGAGCATCAAATCTTCAGGTTTGCTAAGATGATTTTGCCTGACAAGCCCTGGCCGAACTTTTTCGTGGCAGGCGCAATATTTTGGACAGATGGAATGGAAAAAACGTAAGAGGCACTGGTACGAGGCCGTCGACTCTGCACTCAACTTCCATTTTTAAAGGAAGTCTCGCACAATTGCTTCGTTTTTGATGTCGTCAATGTGGAAGACTGTGGAAGTCTCGCAGAATTGCTTCGTTTTTGACGTTGCCAAGGTCAAAAACTGAGGAAGTCTCGCAGAATTGCTGTGTTTTTTGATGTTGCCAAAGTCACAAAGTGAGGAGGTCTCGCAAAATAGCTTCGTTTTCAAGCTTGCAGACAGAAAGAAAGATAGATATACAACTGCAACTACCACTACAACTACCACTACACTACACTACTACTACAACTACAAATGCAAATGTATTAATTACGCTACATTACGCTACACTAATTAGACTACACTACACTACACTACACTACACCACACCACACCACACCACACCACCCTACGCTACGCTACGCTACGCTACGCTACGCTACGCTACGCTACACTACACTACACTACACTACACTACACTAACAACACCACCAGCAACAACAACAACAACTACTACTACTACCACTACCACTACTACCACTACTACCACTACTACCACTACTACCACTACTACCACTACTACCACTACCACTACTACCACTACCACTACCACTACCACTACCACTACTACTATTACTACTACTACTACTACTTCTACTACTTCTACAGCTGCAACTACAATTGCAACTGCAACTGCAACTACCACTGCATTGCACTACACTACACTACTCTACACTAATTAAACCACACTACAGCTACAACTACACTCCTTTACGCTACTTTACACTACACAACACCCCAGCTACAACTACAGTATGCTACACTACATTACACTACATTAATACACCACACCACAACTACAAGTGCGACTGCAGCTATGCTACACTAAATACACTACACAACAGCTACAACTGCACTACACCACACTACATCCAGGAGTTGTGGGTGAGGTGACCACTGCAACCATTGCAGCCACTCCAAAAAAATAAGTCCAACCACCTTTCGGTCTATCAGTGGATTCGCTCTGCCATCCGTGCGTCGCAACAATTCACCTCTCCTATAGTGTCCTATCTCTGAAACTTCCGCCACAGCCTTGTGCGGTACTACTGGTATGACTTACGGTATATATATATTAAATAGATGTTGAATATAACATATAAATATTTAATTTCATACATATATATATATATCTTTGTTGAATTTAATATATATATATATACATACATATATTAACTTAATATATATATATTTAAAACAATATCTATACATGTTTAATATATATATATTTAATTTAATATATATATATAATATAATATATGTATATTATATATGTAATATTTAGTATAATTTAATATATATAACATATACCTAATATATATATTTATATAATATATAAAATATTTGGCACGTTATTTTTGGCCTTGTACAAGGATTGTTATTGCTTGCCCAGGTCCTGTTTGGCCACTCCCTTGGCTCCACGCGATTGCATTTTTTTCAAGAAGCGACAACGGTATCCCGCCATGCGCTCTATAAAGATTTTCCTGAACCAGGACAGGGTGGGGTACCATGGTTCCGGTCAGATCTCTTAACATTGAAACTTGTACATGGTGGTTGTAATGGCTAGTCGCGTTTCTCAAAATTTTAAAAACTCATGTTTTGATCCTTGCAGGAGATTCGACACAGGTCGAAACTGAAACCATTGCGATTGTCCGTCGTTTGCCACACCCTTCGGGCAACAGGTACCGCTTGGTGTTTGTCTTCAGCACCCCAGAAGACAATTTCGCAGGCAGTTCCTTGTGTGACCAACACTTGCCTGCTTTCACTGACATGTACCGCAACATGTTCGACAGGGTGGTGAATGGCCCTGGTTTTCTTGATATGCGAGGCGTTGATGCAAAGATGTACTTGGTCCTGTCCATGCGGGCCTTCAATCGTGGGCCGCCGATGATTCCCCACGACAATCCTTGCTCAGAGGAATCTTTCAACATGTCGGCTGGCGAACACCTTGGCTTGGTGTCTTGGACCCGTTTCAAACCTGATGAAAAATTCTACTTGAGTGAGTACATGCGGGTCTTCATGGAGCGACTGGGGCACCAATTGAAGATCTATGGGGTCATGGATGGTCGTAAGCTTGTCCCCTACCAGTGTGTCGTTGTGCAGTCGGAGTGGGACCAGTCGAGAGCATCTTTCTATGAAGCTTTCAAGGTGCAGAAAGCAGCTTACCGCCGTGCCAATGGGGGACCCAAAAGCCCGAACTTGATTGAAGCTGGGTCGTGTTTCAAACGCCGTGTCACACACACACACATACATGTGTATATACGCGCGCACACACACATATATAAATATATCTATATACACATGTAATATTTCTTACATGTATATTTTTCTTATTTCTAGACGATGTTAAAAATGTAGCGTGTATTTCTCCGAATTTCTTTCGGATGACAAACCGAGTTCGAATTGCAGCGTTTTCTCTGTCATGTTTCGACCCCAGGAAGATGTGGCTCCCCATTTCTTGCCTGGTGTCCATCAATGTGATTCCGATTCCCAGATCTCTACGCCCAAGCGACATACCACGGTGCGCAAGACTTTCGTGGAGCTCGACGAAGAGGACGACATGGGCAAACCCAAGTTGCCCAAGCAGCTGAAACGCAGCATTTCTACGGGGGAAGTCATGACTTGCTTTGTGTAGGGATCAATTTGGCACCTTGCCAGCGTGTAGAGTGACTATGGCTTTGACTGACTCTAGATGATGTAGATGGCAAGGAAACACGGCAAACCATTTCAAGTGGGACCATGGTGGCGAAGAATTCATCTCGTACCATTGGATGGAAGGTAAACTCCAACATCTGCCAATAGGCCAAAGTAGATGCACTTGTACAGCCAGGGGTGCGCGGAGGACATGAGACCTCCCGTGAGATCCTGTGAAAATTGTGAAGTCAGAGAGAATTGAAGTAGTCAAACTGAGTCAAACCATTTAATGTTGACGTGCTATTAATTACCCCGGAAACATGATGGGCATCAAAAAAATATATTGAGGCCAAACGATGGCCTGGGGTCCCTGGAAATTTTCCAGCCCGAGTGGCGTTGGTCATGTACCTGTCTTGATTCATGTCCAGCTTTGCTGATTGTTGTGTGGATCCTACTGGATTGGTCAGGGCCACTTGGATTTTGACAGGTGCTGCTGTTGTTTCGCCGTTTCTCCAGAATTAGGTGGTGTTCAGGGTGTCTTTTGGGAGTGTTTTGCAGGGTAATGTACCAGGTCGCAAATGGGTGACGCTGGGGTATCGATCCCCCCCCTGGTCCGTGATATTGCGGCTAAATAGGCAGACAAATATTGGGGCTAAATAAGTAGACAAATAGATCAATAGATAGGCACATGGGTACACAGATAGATAGATGTGTAAGTAGATGAAAAGAAAGATCGGTAGATAGATGGAGGGATAGATCACTAGAAATAAGACATGGAGAGGTAGAGAGTGTGAGAGTCGATGGATGGATGGATGGATGGATGGATGGATAGATAGATAGATGGAGAGTAGATCGAGAGAGGGAATTATCGATAGCTAGATCGCTAGACGATAGATAGATCGGTCGATAGATGGATAGACAAACAGATAGATAGATAGCTAGATAGCTAGATGGCTAGATCGATAGATCGATAGATAGATAGATAGACAGATAGATAGATAGATAGATAGATGGACAGAGGTCAAAGAACTTTGTTGGCAGAAAGCTTCAATGACAAGCTGACATAGAGCTATGCCGTTCCTTTTGCTTGAGAGATTGTGTTTTGCGCTGGCAGTTGGTAGTTATGCTTGCAGACTTTGAGTGGGAGAAGGGGCCGTAGAGACGGGTACTATCCAGGCTGCGCTTTGAGAGACAGCGGCAAATGCGATGTGGTTTGCTGAACGCGGACCGTCATGTCATCTGTCTTGTGCTACAAGCGTATGACAGCTAGAGAGCTAGATGTGAGATGGAGACATGGACAAGTGGATAAAGGCGTCCGCATATGGTGAGAACAACAAACATGACAGATGTAATGCTAAGGAGAAGCGGCAGAATCAAAGCCGGCCTTGCAGAACGCATGCAGATTTCGTATTTTGTTAAGGAAAAGATTACAGAGGCAATGATAAGCAGATGCTGCGGTCTAACAGAACTGTAGCAGAGCAGGACATTTCCTTTTGGCCTTTGGCAGCTCTGCTATGGAATAGTGTCAGTGTCACATGCGATATCGTTTGCAGACCGTGGACCGTCACGTCATCTGTTTCTGACGATACACGTTGATCCAACTGGGATCATCTGGGATCGTGGAAAAATACCATGGGCCCTGGCAGATACTTTTGCGAAGTACAGAACGCTATCATCGTGCAGCGTACAAATGGATATGGAAGCAGAAACCAAGAACCAAATCTAGAGTCTGCATGTTTAGATCAGGGCCATGTTAAGCCGTGTTAGGCCTATGTGGGACCTATGTTAGGCTTATGTTGGTCCATGTTGGGCTCTTAGACGCCATGTTGGGGCCATATTCGTGCCATGTTGAGCTGGTGTTAAGCCAAGAACGGCGTGTTCCTTTTTTGCCTTTACCCGGCCCAAAAGGAACACATCTTTTTTGGATCATGTCGGGACCATGTTGGGCTCGTCTGGTCCCATTGGATCATCTCCAAGAGCCCCCCTCCCGGGTAGGAGTTGCTGCCTGGATCCTCTGGATCCTCCAACTTCGTTGAAACATGTTGAAACCATTGATGAATAACATGGATGCCTCCAATTATATCCAAATCTCATCAAACATTGGGGATGCAGACGATGCAGATCCCAAAGTTGCTATGAGACCATTTTGATCACGTTGCTTTGGCTCAAGCATGATCAACGGCAGTGATTTGATGTACAGTAAGTCCAGCGTTTCAAGGGTATAGCAGTATAGCATGGCTGAGGATCACAGTGACTGGCTGAATTTTGCTGCTTCTTGTATGTCCGATGTACAGTGGGAGGTGGCGGCAATCCGACCAGATGCAGTGCTCTCACATCGCTCATGCCCTTGGGGTGGCCATTTGATCAGGTTGGATGCAAAGACACTTGGTATATTCTGATTATTCTGGGCCCTGGCCCTGTGCAGAACCCTCCATTTTTCGGCCCGCTGAATATCATTGAATACCAGCCACCTATTTGTGTTTGCCTCTGTGCTAGCTTGCTTCCAATGGCGCATTCTTTGGGGCCGGTCAGGGCATGTCAGCCGGATTTTTCTCTGCCAATTGAGAAAATACTCCCGATGTCAATACTATGGGTGGTATCATCGGGTACTGTATACTTGGAATCATCGCAATTTCGAGCAATCCTTTTCTTCATAAATTCTCTGTGCGAACTCTATGTGTTTTTACCCAAATCATATGGTCCACTTGGGGTTCTTACCATAGGTGTTAAAGCCTGGTGTTCAGTCAAGGTGTCATTATAACTATATGACCTATATGTGTTCGCCTTGTTTGGTGACCCTTAGAGCACAAAAGTTCCTCGATCTTCCGTTTTCGAAGGAAGCCTAGCACGAAATGGTGTCCGCGGAGGGCTCTCTTCCGAGGGTCTTGTTTTACCGGCGGGCCGTGCTCGTTTTTGGAGCTATGTCCATTTTTCATGCATGGGGCTTTCGCGACATTTTGGGGTCTGGAATGTCATTTTGCATGACAGGTGCAGGACATCGGAGACTTTTTCATCCGTGTGGCAGGCGTGGTACTTTCTTGAGAGGTGGTTTCGGAGGTCATTTCTCGTGGTGAACTTGGACGTGAGATTTCGAACACATGATGATTTGCGTGGCAGGCGCGGTGCTTCGGATGCCTTGGGCCCGTTTGTCGTTGCAGTAGAGACCTCGACGAAAAAGTGCCCGAAACCTGGGTCAAACATCATTTTCACATTTTCAAAGTTCATTGTTTGTGATGTGCGCGATATTGATTGAACATCTAACATATGCTCATGCAACCCTCTCGTCACTTTGTGCGTGTCAGATCGCTCTGGCTGTGGCGCGGTGCTCAGTTTTGAGATCGCACGCAGCCTATTATCGCAGCCTTCTTGTCGCTTTGAAACTTTGTGAGTGTCAGATCGCTCTGGCTGTGGCGGTGCTCATTTTTGAGATCGCGGGCGCAACCCTCTCATAACATTGTGCGTGTCAGATCGCTCTGGCATGATCATTTAGTTGCACCAAAACAAACCATTCTGTAACAAACAAAAAGCAATTTTGTAAAGATTTTTAAGGGTATGTTACGGTGGTTTAAAAAAGTGAATTCGCCATTGACAAAGAAAAATCTGGCAGCCATCCTATAGAGAACCCATGGTTTCAATACATGTACCATTTTATAAGTTTATATTTGTGTTTGCAACGGCTGGCTCAGAAAATTGTAGGAACTTGAAATTTCCCCACCTCCCTGACAATTCCACCAATGATAGCCTTCACGCGTTTGGTGCTCTTCGCACATTCCGTGCTGGCTGGCTTTGGGGCTCCTGCTGCTGTGCTGAACAAGAAAGGTGCCACGCTACCAAGAAAGGTGCCACGGCCCATCGCAATTCTTCTGACGACCCGGCTCTTCGTTGCTTTTGGACCGTTTTTGTGACTTCCAATGGAAAAAGCTTTCATTTGCAGAAGGATTGCAAGCACATTGTTGGCAAACAAATGTCTACATTCTACATTCTCATGCTGCAAAAGTTGCATGAAACAGTTTCCTTCCACCTCCGAAGAGGATGAATGACGATGAATTACAGGGTGAAAATCTTGCAAAATGGTTCTGGGAAAAAGGCAGTTGACGCTGAGTTCTTGGCGAGATAGATGCTTTACAAGATGTCTCTTGTTTCTTATACTTTTATATCTTTTTATAAGACCGTGAATGCGCTGGTTTGATCATTTTTTTGACTAAATTGTCAACGTGGTTCTGAATCAACATCATCCAATACAGATGACAGGCAATACCATTTTGCGGTGCTCAGTTTGAGATGCACGCAGCCTATCGCAGCCTTCTCGTCACTTTGAAATTTTGTGCGTGTCAGATCGCTCTGGCTGTGGCGGTGCTCATTTTTTGAGATCCCTCGTGCAACACCTCTCGTCACGTTGTGCGTGTCAGATCGCTCTCGTTGTGGCGCGGTGCTGATTCTGTCCACGGGAGCAGAATCTTGACAAGGAGGTCTTGTATATGTGGAAGAGCTTGCGCAGAGATCTTGAGAAGAGACCTTGCACAGAGATCTTGTATCATCTTGTAACGAGATCCCTTGCAGAGATCTTGCGTGGAGATCTGTGATAGACCCCGTGTACGGAGACCTTGCAGAGAGATCTCTTACAGAGATCTTACAAAGAAACCTCTTATTGTGCAGAGATCGGAGATCTCTTACAGAGATCCTGCCAAGAGACCTCATAGAGAGCTCGTGCAGAGATCTTGCCAAGAGACCTCTTATAATAGAGACCTTGTACACTACTGTATAACACTATAGATCTTGCCAGAAGACCTGTTCTAGAGAACTTGTACGGAGACCTTGCGTAGAGATCTCTTGCAGGGATCTTGCCAAGAGGTTTCTTAGGAGAGGTCTTGCTAAGAGATCTCTTGTAGAGACCTCCTGTACAGAGATCCTGTGTAGAGGTCTCTCAGGGCGACCTTGTGCAGAGATCTTGTAAAAAGATCTCTTGTAGCGATCTTGCCAAGAGACCTCTTCTGAGGATCTTGTGCAGGGACCTCGCGCCGAGATCTTGTGCAGAGACCATGCCAAGAGGTCTCTTACAGAGATCCTGCTCAGAGATTTGTTGTAGAGAGATCTCTTACAGAGATCTTCTTTTCAGAGATCTCTTGCAGAGATCTCGTGTGGAGCTCCCACAACGAACGATCTTGCCAAGAGACCTCTTATAGAGACCTTGTACAGAGATCTTGCCAAGAGACTTCTCCTAGAGATCTTGTACAGAGACCTTGCGTAGAGATCTCTTGCGGAGATCTTGCCCAGATGTCTCTTAGACAGATCTTGTGTAGAGGTCTCTCAGGGCGACCTTGCACACAGATCTTGTAAAGAGATTTCCTATAGCGATCTTGCCAAGAGTCCTTTTCTAGGGATCTCTTTCAGAGAGCTTGTGCATGTAAATCTCCCACAGCGACTTGCCAAGAGACCTCTTTTGGAGAGCTTATACAGAGACCTTGCGCAGAGATCTCTTGCAGAGTTCGTGCCGAGAGGTCTCTGACACAGAGCTTGCAAAGACATCTCTGATAGAGCGCTTAAACAGAGATCTTATTTAGAGATCTGTTACAGAGACCTTGCGTGGAGATTCTTGACAGAGACCTTGAGCAGAGATCTTGAGAAATCTCTTACAGAGATCCTGGTAGGAGATGGCAAAGGCTCCTGTCCAGGTGGTCTTGCGCATGATCTTCACAAAGGGAACTTGAAGAACCTACCCTGGTATATACTTGGTATCTATTCGTCATGTGCCTTGCAACGTCTCTTGCTGGATATGTGTTGGGGGGAAGCGGACCCACAGAAAACTTCCATGGATTTTCCTTAAGCAATTTCCGAAATCTTGAAACGCCGTTCTTCGGTGACTTCAGGAATGTCTTCATCCAGAATGCCTCCGCAGATCCTGCTGACATTTTGGTGCGCCCTGAGGTGCGCGAAATGAGCCCAGGCAAGTCCAAGGCGGAGTTTACATGGCGGTGCCTCGAAATTTACGCACCTGGAGATGCCTTGATAGAGTGCACCAACAATTGGTCCACGCGCTTGTTCGGGGTGCCTCGGAGGGGACCTTGCAACATTTATTATAGAATACGTGACCGGAATCTAATGGAATATATATAATTATATATCTATATACATACATACAAATATATATATATATGTATGTATCTATCTATCTATCTATCTGTCTGTCTATCTATCTATCTATCTATTTATCTATCTATCTATCTATCTATCTATCTTTCTATCTATCTATCTATATATCTAATTATATATATATGTGTGTGTGTGTGATTAGACCCTGAATGTCCAAAGGCCTTCACAGTGAGGTCATTTCACGCTGTGGGAGGTCCTTTCATGCTTATTCACACAGATTCACGCTCAGATTCGCTCATCCAAAACTCTTGCGATCAGAGATCAGGGCGAAAGAACCATTCCCTTTGTTAATAAAAAAATCAAGTTTGGATTGGCCTATCCTATCACGTGGGTTTTCTGAGGTCCTTCTGTATGGGATGATCCCTGAATTAGGAAAAGAGTGTAGACTCTAGACGATGGTTTGCAACCACCTAGAGCTGGGGTGTATTGGGGCCCAGCATTTCGGAGTATATTGGGGTGCAGTGTATAATTTCAGAGATCATCCCGGCAACATCAATAGTTCAGTGCTGTCCGTTGGCCACATTTTAACGTTTTCTGACGGTATACGATGCGAGTGGGTCATGGCAAGTCCCTTTCAGCTCTGCTTTCCTGATGTCTTGTGTTCAGCGGATCAGCCGCCTCTACGCTACATAGATTAGGTTAGGTTAGATTAGATTAGGTTAGCTTAGCTTAGATTAGATTAGATTAGAATAGATTAGAATAGAATAGACTAGACTAGAATAGAAAAGAATAGAATCGAATGGAATAGAATAGAATAGAAGAGATCGATCGATAGATAGATCGATCGATAGATCGATAGATAGATCGATAGATCGATCGATAGATAGATTAGATAGAGTAGATAGATTAGATAGATTAGATAGATTAGATAGATTAGATAGATTAGATAGATTAGATAGATGAGATAGATGAGATAGATTAGATAGATTAGGTTGATTAGATTGATTAGATAGATAGGAGGACAAACAAATGGAAAGAAGACAAAGAAAATTGAGATAGATCGACTTATAGAGGGATAATAAGAACACAAGATAGATAGACATGTATCGGTAGGTAGTAAGAAAGATAGACCAAGAGAAAGATAAGTAGATTCACAAGAGTCCACTTGGCTTCAGATTAATTAACAGTCTTTTGTCAAGACCTGTTGAATTATTTTCATGTTGCAACAAGTGACCTAGAGGCCCTTTGTTGGGATAAAAACGGATTCCTCAGGTCACTTGTTCAAAGCTAGTTCAAAGTGGACAACTACCCAACATAGACATACCGCTAGGTAGAAAAAACAGACTGAAGAAGAAAAGAAAAGACATTAATTAGATAGAGACCAGATAGAAAAACAAACAACTAGGAACAACGATCAATACAGTACATGCATGCATACATGCATACATAGATAGATAGATAGATAGATAGGCAGGTAGATAGATAGAGGCTTAAACACCTGAAAGTGTAGTCGGTGCACTCGGTGCACCTGGTGCACTCGGTGCACTCGTTGCGCTGCAAGTGTGCTCGGTGCGCTGCAAGTGTACTCGGTGCACTGCAAGTGTAATCAGTGCACTTGGTGCACTCGGTGCGCTGCAAGTGTGCCTGGTGCACTCGGTGCTCTCGGTGCGCTGCAAGTGTACTCGGTGCACTCGGTGCACTCGGTGCGCTGCAAGTGCACTCGGTGCGCGAGTGCGCTGCAAGTGCGTGCACTCGGTGCGCTGCAAGTACACTCGGTGCATTCGGTGCTCTCGGTGCACTCGGTGCACCCTTTGTCTCGAATCTTTGTAAATTTACATTTTGCCTTGATTTACGTAAATAGAAACATTTACGTAAATATTTACGTAAATTGGCTCGGAACCTAATTTTTTACTCTGCAACCTAAAATTCAACATTTTCTATTTTTACGTATATATTTTCAAGGTTTTTTGCTATGTCTACTTGAGGTACTTGGGTGTACTGGGTCAGAAATTTACTTGAGACATGCCAAGAACTTACTACTAAGTATGATTACTTGTTGATGCTGCAGGTGAACCTATCTGACAGCTGGAGAAAACAGCGCGCTTGATGGTGGATTGCTGAAGCTTTATGGCTTACTTTGTTTTACTTGTACTGGTAGGGGATGTTGGTAGCCTTGACATTCACTCAAGACATACGCAAGACTTACTTGTGACTTACTTGAGACTTACTTGTGAATGTTACCTGTGGCATTCCTCAACTGCATGAGTTATGTTTTCCATCTTACTTGAGACATACCTGTGACTTGTGTATTACTTGTGGATTCAGTTTGACTTGTGGCTTACTTATGAGTTACTTAATAGTTGCTTTTAATTGTTCTTGCAGTGTCTTCATGGTTTATGGCAGGCTAGGATCACGATCTATATTAGTCATCTCAAGTAAGCACATGTAAGTTGACAAACTAGGATGAAATGGTTGAAGCTTTGCACTATTGAATCATTTCCAGAGGTGAGTTTCCAAATTAGTTTAACTGTTGAAATATCTCTGGTCAACAAAGTGATGAGTAACTCTTGAGTCATTGTTTGGCCAAATGTCTTGCAAATTTAGTTGGTTAGTTCAAGGCAGTCTTGACAAATGTCATGGGAAGCATCTGTACAGATCCAAGAACACCACATGTAAATCTCAAGTAAAGGGGTTTTAAACAAAACAATAATAACTTCTTTTTGTGTTCACAGGTAAGCATCTGTACAAATCCAAGAACATCACATGTAAATCCCAAGTAAGAAAAGTGCCAAATATTTGATGCACTTTTGATGCACTTTTGCACTTTTGATGCACTTTTGATGCACTTTCAAAAAGTTCATGAACATTTGGCAAAAGTTCATGAACTTGTGCCAAAAGTTCATGAACTTTTTGAAAGTGCATCAAAAGTGCATCAAAGGTGCATCAAAAGTGCATCAAAAGTGCATAAGATGTTTGAACTGACTTGTTAAGAATTTCATAGAAATATGAGTAGGGGTCCCTCCAGATTTTGTAGATATTTCTCAGTCTGACTGATTCCCAGATGACTGAAGCAAAAAAAAATCAATGCAATCTCAGGGAATTTTCTTGGAAAGCAGCACCCGGTAAATTGACAGGCAGTCAGTTTCAAAGAAAACTTATTGGACGCACTCTCAAATAAAGTCAGTTGAATGCGCAGCCCCATGTAAAGCCAAGTGGGTGCAGCCTTAAGTAATGTCAGTTGAATAGAGTCTCAAATAAAGTTAGTTGAATGCAGTGTCAAGTAAAATCAAGCATCCATAACATTTGAAACATGATTCTTTCTTGCAGGCAAATACCTGAGGATACTTGAAACAGTTTTGGATTTCCCACATACATTTTTCCAATAGCATTTGGCACTTGAATCACTATGTGTCTTTGCCTACAAGAACATTCTGAAAACTTCCAAAAGTAAATTCCATCCAGTAAACTTCAATTCAAAAGTATGTTCATAGATATCTCATGTAAACTTCCAAAAGTAAATCTCTGGCATGTATGTAAGGTATCTCCACAGATACCTTGTGCAAACTTCCAAAAGAAGATTCCTTCAAAGGACATGTTGGTTGGAAGTCATCTACAAGCAGCATGCTGTTTTTCCAACAAAAATCATACATATGGTATGAGGAAGTTATACATTTTTCAACAGAAAGACATCGAAATTTGTTGAAAAAACATTTCAAAAAGTTTACTCATATGATGAACAATTTAGGTAAAAATTTAGGTGAATATTTACGTACATTTCAACCTAATTTTTTTTACAGTAAAAGTAAATATTTACGTAATTTTACAAAGATTCGAGACAGAGGGTACTCGGTGCACTCCGTGCACTCGGTGCGCTGCAAGTGCACTCGGTGCACTCGGTGCACTCGGTGCACTCGGTGCGCACACTGTGCGCAGTCAGTGATCGCAGCCGCAATGCATATTTCTATGTCTCTGAGCCTGTGCTATATAGGTGCAAATGTAGATGCGCATGTAAACACATTGGTAAATTTATGTGTGTGTGTGCAATGTACAGATACATAATATATATATATATTTAATTATATAAAAATATATATCTATCTAACTTAATATATATATATAATTATATATATATATATTCATATATTTTGTATTATTATGTATGGAAACTTGGATGACTTTGGATGTACGGCGGTTGATCTAAATTCTTTCATCTGCAAATGGCCATTCTTCGCGAAAAGTAAATTTACGTTCGCAATTTTTTCGCGAGCCCGCGTTTTTCTCTCGCGTGGTCGCGGCGTTATCTGGGAGACCCAAAGGGTAGGTGCCAGGCCGTGTTTGGATAATTCATGATAGTTCTGCCAGGAATTTCATTGTTTCCAAAAGAAAATAAAAGAAATTTAGAAGTCAAACTTCCGACAATATGGACAGATGGAAAAGCAGAGGTGGGAAGAGTCAGAGAAGAGAAGAGAAGAAGAGAGAAGATCAGAGAAGAGAAAGAGTCAGAAGAAACAAGATGCAGGTGCGCAAAGAAAAGTCGCGATGCACTGTATTTTTCGCATGATTTGTTGCCCTGGAGGGTCGCAAAGTAGGCTCGCTACAGCGGCGGGTGCGGAGCCATCTAACCAGATGAGAAATGAAAAATTGCACGCCGTTGTGGTGCGAAGCACATTTCGAATTCAAAATGTACAAAGCACATCAGCTTCGGCGCACTTTTAGGAATTGAGATGTCGAAAAAGTGCACGTCGTTGTGGCGCGAAGCACATGTCGAAGTAAAAAAACGCACCAACGTCGGAGCAGTTTTGGGAGTTGAGTGAGATGTCGAAAAAGTGCACGGCGTTGTGGCGCGAAGCACGTTTCGAAAAAAAATGAAGGGTTCGGAGCAGTTTTGGACGTTCAGATGTCGTTTCGTGTGGCAGGCGTACGGGATTCTGCATCTTGGTAAAAGTGAGCAAAACGTGAGGGTTTTGTAGCCGTTTCAAAAAAGTTGGCAGACGTGGGACATTTGAAGAGGATCCGCAAAGATGCATGTCGCGTGGCAGGCGCAGTACAAGAAGCATGTTCATTAGAGATGTTAGGAGGTCAGGGCGTTGATTTCTTGAGAAAGGTTGCACTTTGGAGCATCAGATCTTCAGGTTTGCTAAGATGATTTTGCGCGACAGGTGCTGCACTTCGTATGACCTGGCCGAACTTTTTCGTGGCAGGTGCAGTATTTTGAACAGATGGAATGGAAAAAACGTAAGAGGCATTGGTACGAGGCCGTCGGCTCTGCACTCAACTTTCCATTTTTAAAGGAAGTCTCGCGCAATTGCTTCGTTTGTGATGTCGTCAATGTAGAAAATTGGGGAAGTCTCGCAGAATTGCTTCGTTTTTGACGTGGCCACGATCAAAAACTGAGGAAGTCTCGCAAAATTGCTACGTTTTTTGATGTTGCCAAAGTCACAAAGTGAAGTCTCGCAAAATAGCTTCGTTTTCAAGCTTGCAGATAGACAGAAAGAAAGATAGATATACAACTGCAACTACCACTAAAACTACCACTACACTACACTACTACTACAACTACAAATGCAATACATTACACTACACTAATTAGACTACACTACACGAACACCACCACCACCACCAGCAGCAACAACAACAACAACAACAACTACTACTACTATTACTACTACTGCTACTGCTACTGCTACTACTACTACAGCTGCAGCTGCAACTACAATTACAACTGCAACTGCGACTGCAACTACCACTACATTGCACTACTGTACACTAGACTACACTACTCTACACTAATTACACTACACTACAACTACAACTATTCTCCTTTACACTACTTTGCACTACACTACACCCCAACTACAACTACAGTACGCTACACTACACTACATTACACTACACTAATACACCACACCACAACTACAAGTGCGACTGCAGCTACGCTACACGAAACGAACTACACTACAGCTACAACTGCGCTACACCACACTACATCCAGCATTTGTGGTGAGGTGACCACTGCAACCATTGCAGCCACTTCAGAAAACACAACTCCAACCGACTTTCGGTCCATCAGTGGATTCGCTCTGCCATCCGTGATTCACAACAACCAACCTCTCCTATAGTGTCCTATCTTTGAAACTTTGCCACAGCCTTGTGCGGTACTACTGGTATGACTTACGGTATGTATATATATATAAATATATTTATATATATGTCAATAGATGTTGAATATAATATATAAATATTGAATTTGATATATTTATAAATAAATAAATAAATATATATATATATTCATTTAATTATATATATATTTAAATATCTATACATCTTGAATATAATATATATTTATATTTAATATAATATATGTATATTATACAAAAAATAAGCAGTATAATATATATATATATATAACATGTACCTAATATATTTTTATATAATATATAAAATATATAAAAGAATCTATATATGTTTATTTGGCACGCTATTTTTGCCCTTGTACAAGGACTGTTATTGCTTGCCCAGGTCCTGTTTGGCCACTCCCTTGGTTCCACGCGATTGCATTTGTTTCAAGAAGCGCGAACGGTAACCCGCCATGCGCTCTATAAAGATTTTCCTGAACCAGGACAGGGTGGGGTACCATGGTTCCGGTCAGATCTCTTCACATTAAAACCTGTACGTGGTGGTTGTAATGGCGCGTCGCATTTCTCAACATTTTCAAAACTCATGTTTTGATCCTTGCAGGAGATTCGACACAGGTCGAAACCGAAACCATTGGGATTGTCCGTCGTTTGCCACACCCTTCGGGCAAGAGGTACCGCTTGGTGTTTGTCTTCAGCACCCCAGAAGACAATTTCCCAGGCAGTTCCTTATGTGACCAACACTTGCCTGCTTTCACTGACATGTTCCGCAACATGTTCGAGAGGGTGGTGAATGGCCCTGGTTTTCTTGACATGCGGGGCATTGATGCAAAGATGTATTTGGTCCTGTCCATGCGGGCCTTCAATCGTGGGCCGCCGATGATTCCCCACGACAATCCTTGCTCAGAGGAATCGTTCAACATGTCGGCTGGCGAACACCTTGGCTTGGTGTCTTGGACCCGTTTCAAACCTGATGAAAAATTCTACTTGAGTGAGTACATGCGGGTCTTCATGGAGCGGCTGGGGTACCAGTTGAAGATCTATGGGGTCATGGACGGTCGTAAACTTGTCCCCTACCAGTGCGTCGTTGTGCGGTCGGAGTGGGACCAGTCGAGAGCATCTTTCTATGAAGCTTTCAAGGTGCAGAAAGCAGCTTACCGCCGTGCCAATGGGGGACCCAAAAGCCCGAACTTGATTGAAGCTGGGTCGTGTTTCAAAGGCCGTGTCACACACACACGTACATGTGTATATACGCGCGCACACACATAAATATATCTATGTACACATGTAATATTTCTTACACGTACATGTTCTTATTTCTATTTCTTTCGGATGACAAACCGAATTCGAATTGCCGTGTTTTCTTTGTCATGTTTCGACCCTGTTGAAAACCCCAGGAAGATCTGGCTCCCCATTTCTTGCCTGGTGTCCATCAACGTGATACCGATTCCCAGATCTCTACGCCCAAGCAACATACCACGGTGCGCAAGACTTTCGTGGAGCTCGACGAAGAGAACGACATGGGCAAACCCAAGTTGCCCAAGCAGCTGAAACGCAGCATTTCTACCGGGGAAGTCATGACTTGCTTTGTGTAGGGATTAATTTGGCACCTTGCCAGCGTGTAGAGTGACTATGGCTTTGACTGACTCTAGATGATGTAGATGGCAAGGAAACACGGCAAACCATTTCAAGTGGGACCATGGTGGCGAAGAATTCATCTCGTACCATTGGATGGAAGGTAAACTCCAACATCTGCCAATAGGCCAAAGTAGATGCACTTGTACAGCCAGGGGTGCGCGGAGGACATGAGACCTCCCGTGAGATCCTGTGAAAATTGTGAAGTCAGAGAGAATTGAAGTAGTCAAACTGAGTCAAACCATTAATGTTCACGTGCTATTAATTACCCCGAAACATGATAGGCATCAAACAAATATATTGAGGCCAAACGATGGCCTGGGGTCCCTGGAAATTTTCCAGCCCGAGTGGCGTTGGTCATGTACTGTACCTGTCTTGATTCATGTCCAGCTTTGCTGATTGTTGTGTGGATCCTACTGGATTGGTCAGGGCCACTTGGATTTTGACGGGTGCTGCTGTTGTTTCGCCGTTTCTCCAGAATTAGGTGGTGTTCAGGGTGTCTTTTGGGAGTGTTTTGCAGGGTAATGTACCAGGTCGCAAATGGGTGACGCTGGGGTATCGATCCCCCCCTGGTCCGTGATATTGCGGCTAAATAGGCAGACAAATATTGGGGCTAAATAAGTAGACAAATAGATCAATAGATAGGCACATGGATACACAGATAGATAGATGTGTAAGTAGATGAAAAGAAAGATCGGTAGATAGATGGAGGGATAGATCGCTAGAAATGAGACATGGAGAGGTAGAGAGGTGTGAGAGAGAGATCGATGGATGGATAGATGGATGGATGGATGGATGGATAGATAGATAGATAGATGGAGAGTAGATCGAGAGAGGGAATTTATCGATAGCTAGATCGATAGAAAGATCGATCGATAGATGGATAGACAAACAGATAGATAGATATCTAGATAGCTAGATGGCTAGATCGATAGATCGATAGATAGATAGATAGACAGATAGATAGATAGATAGATAGATAGATGGACAGAGGTCAAAGAACTTTGTTGGCAGCAAGCTTCAATGACAAGCTGACATAGAGCTATGCCGCTCCTTTTGCTTGAGAGACTGTGTTTTGCGCTGGCAGTTGGTAGTTATGCTTGCAGACTTTGAGTGGGAGAAGGGGCCGTAGAGACGGGTACTATCCAGGCTGCGCTTTGAGAGACAGCGGCAAATGCGATGTGGTTTGCTGAACGTGGACCGTCATGTCATCTGTCTTGTGCTACAAGCGTATGACAGCTAGAGAGCTAGATGTGAGATGGAGACATGGACAAGTGGATAAAGGCGTCCGCATATGGTGAGAACAAGAAACATGACAGATGTAATGCTAAGGAGAAGCGGCAGAATCAAAGCCGGCCTTGAAGAACGCATGCAGATTTTGTATTTTGTTAAGGAAAAGATTACAGAGGCAATGATAAGCAGATGCTGCGGTCTAACAGAACTGTAGCAGAGCAGGACATTTCCTTTTGGCCTTTGGCAGCTCTGCTATGGAATAGTGTCAGTGTCACATGCGATATCGTTTGCAGACCGTGGACCGTAACGTCATCAGACCGTGGACCGTAACGTCATCTGTTTCTGACGATACACGTTGATACAACTGGGATCATCTGGGATCGTGGAAAAATACCATGGTCCGTGGCAGATACTTTTGCGAAGTACAGAACGCTATCATCGTGCAGCGTACAAATGGATATGGAAACAGAAACCAAGAACCAAATCTAGAGTCTGCATGTTTAGATCACGGCCATGTTAAGCCGTGTTAGGCCTATGTGGGACCTACGTTAGGCTTATGTTGGTCCATGTTGGGCTCTTAGACGCCATGTTGGGGCCATATTCGTGCCATGTTGAGCTTATGTTAAGCCAAGAACGGCGTGTTCCTTTTGAGCCTTTACCCGGCCCAAAAGGAACACATCTTTTTTGGATCATGTCGGGGCCATGTTGGGCGTATACGGAGCCTATATGAGCCTATGTTGGGCCTATGTTGATCCCATGTTAGGCTCTTGGAGGCTATGTTGGGGCCATGTTCGAGCCGTGTTGGGCTTATGTTCAGCCAAGAATGGCGTGTTCCTTTTAAGAACTCCAATTTTGAAGGTGTTACGCGCTGGAATTGGCTGCGGCAGGGTATCGATTCCCCCTCCGTCCGGTTTCTAGCCAGTGAAACAAATAGATGGAGAAAAGTATATTGCTCGAGAGACTGAAGATACGTAAGCCACCCCAGAGTGTTTGCCACAAAACTTTCTGTGCAGTTGGGGCTACGCCACAAGTGGAGGATTTCAATGTTGAAGGTCTTACACGCCGGCAATTTGCTGTGAGCAGGGGTTTTCATTATCAGAGCTGGCTTTCGTTCCTCCCTTCTCAGGTTAAGGCGTGCACATGATATGCATAGATGGGACAGGTTCCAGGTCATGTTTCAATCCTCCTAAGTTATCGGCGCAGCATTTGGCGCTCGGCATTTCTCAGAGGCTCCCCTGAGCTGCGAAATGGCAAGTGCCGCTGTGAAGTTACCCCCTCCAGGAGCCCCGGAACCATTCAAAGCCATTCGCGTCTAGTGCGTCGTACCGATTGGGTAAAAGATGGTGGATACGTGTATGATGTGTGCCCATGCGTTTATATGGATGTAAATTTGTACGGATACTGGACAAGTAATGAGTTGGTGAGTGTTCCCTTTCGTGGACGGCTCTCTTGCGAGCTTTGTGTGACAGTTGCATCATCCTTTGCAGCACCAGGGGTTTCTTTGCTTTTGCAGCCCAAGGGCCGGTCAAACTTGCGCCAGAAACAATAGCCTGACATGATGGACCCTGAAGAATTTTGGTGTTGGTATGTACCAACAGGCAAACACCAGTGTCAGAATTGACCATGACTGGGGAAACTTTGGGCAGATCAGCCCTTCAGCAGCACGGGGCTATCAGACAGCAATCGGCTACACCAAGCCCCGCCTCAACCGCCAGGTGTTCTGTGATAAGATCTTGTTGAGATCCTGCTGAAATCTTCTTAGAATCTCTCAGAGGTCCTTCTGTGAAGGCCTCCAAGATCCTCCAAGACATCGTGCTAGAGGTGCTTGTGCGAAGGCTCTTGTGGCATGCTCTTTGTCAATATCTCGCCAGATCTTCTGCAAGGTCTTTCCATGCCTATCAGCCTATGGTAATCTTGTGACACTCTCGTAGCGATCCTGGCATTGAGATCTTGTAGAGGTCTTTGTACGAAGATCTTGCGGAGATCCTGGCCAATCCCCTTCGAATCTTTTTCGTCTTTGAGAGGTCCTTCTGTGTCGGCTTCGAAGACATCTAGAGGTGCTTGTGTGAAAGGCGGCTCTTGTGTCATGCTCTTGGGGTTCTTGTTTGAAGATCTTCTGAGATCCTCCACCAGGTCCTTCTGTGTCTATGACGATCTTGCGAGATTCCGCCAGGGTTCCCGGTATGAAGATCTTGTAGGAGGTTCTTGTCTAAAGGTTTTGTCAGCAGGTGTTCCCACCAACACTTTGGGACCTCTTGCTGGGATAATTTGTGCTGCGAGATTCCAGGGATGAGACATGATGAGACCAGCTAGTTTTTACTTGGAATTGCCGTTGGCAAGCAGTTTCCCTCACATGGCTTTGGCCCAAGACGAGAGTGGTTTGGTGGCCAACCCTTTTCAACGGTGTAGCATGACTGAAGATCACAGCGACTGGCTGAATTTTGCGGCTTCCTGTATGTCCGATGTACAGTGGGAGGTGGCTGCAATCCGACCAGAAGCAGTGCTCTCGCATCGCTCGTGCCCTTGGGGTGGCCATTTGATCAAGTTGGAGGCAAAGACACTTAGTCAATTTTTCGCCATCCCAGTGATTGCCACCCCTGAAGGTACATGTTCGCTTTCTCATGTTTTCCCAGCAAACTTGCGATACCGTCAGCCCTGAATTAAGTGACTTTGGTTGACCAATTCAATCATACTGGAGCACTGTGCCTTAGGGCCATAGGGTTCACCAAAAAAATCGGGGGACACACATGGACACCCAACTGTTCTTTGTACATGCTGGGTGAACCAGCTTCTCCTCCTCATTGGCGCACCGGAAAACGCTTACAGGAAACATTCCTCCTGTGGCTGGTAAATCAGCGTAAATCCCCGGTTTCTTTTTGATTTTCGCCGAGACCGAGTGACCTGAGGAATGTCTTCATCCAGAATGCTCCCGCAGATCCTGCCAATCTGTTTGTACGCCCTGAAGTGCGGGATATGTCTCCGGGGAAGTCCAGGGCGGACTTCTCGTGGCGGTGCCTGGAGACTTACGCGCCCGGAGATGCCTTGGTGGAGTGTACCAATTGCTGGTCCACGCGCTTATTCTCGGTGCCTCGGAAGGGACCGTGGAACAATTTGTTAATGGAGGGGCGCGTGTGCCAATTTTCATAGACTCTATGCATGTGTATAACTATAACTGTGTATGATTTTGTTTGTATATATAACTGTAACGAATTCCGGCATAATAATAACAACAATAATAGCAATAATACTGACAATCAGAATAATTATTAACAATATATAAGAACTAGAACAATAGTAATTATTAATGAAAATGGTAACAATAACAGCAATAACAACTACAGCAATAACAACTACAGCAATAACAGTACTAAATAAATAAATGCACACACACACACATATATATACATACAATTATATACATATAAATGTAATAATGATATATATATAAAATTAGGTCATTCAAAGCAGGTCTCTACCCAAACCCAACCAGGTCTCCACATGTTCATCTTTGGAGCAGCCATTTTGCTCATTAGTTTACCCTAACCTATTAGGCATTGGTCAAAGGAAATGTTATAGCAAGGGGCCACAAACAACATCAGAGGTTAAGATCAAAAATCATCATGGTACATCTAATTTTTATGGAGTTGTCATTTTACTTTTTTGATCACTGAGCTATGTGCTCTGCTGTGCTGTGGTTTTCCCTGGTGCATTGTGCCAGCAAGCGCAACTTTTTTCAAGCATCTCGGCTTCAGGGGGTCATGCCCCTGGGTTCAATTTGGGCACAGGCAAACCCAAAATCACACCTCAGATTCTTCAAGTTTTTTAAGGTGACCTCAAACTTTTACATTGAACTATGAGTTTGCCTCAGGGGGCATTTCTGTTGATGCCAGTATAGAATCCTAGAGTCCCAAGCGGTCGACTTCCTCTTTGGCCATTTTTTTGGCAAGTTCACGGTCTTTATGCTTCGAGTACACTTGCCTGTACACCCGGCTGTAGACACGGTTCCGTGTTGCAGGCTTGTAGCCATCCTTAGATTGTTCTGCACACAGAAGTATTGTATCAGTGGGAGATCAGCATATTATTAATTCCAATTTCCTAAAATTTATTGGGCCATGGGGTCCTAAATATATCATCCAAAATTGCTCAAAGTCCTTTGATATGGCTTGAAAGTTGAAACCATGCAGAAAAGAAGGGCCAAGTAGCCGATCCCTTCTCCTCATTCTCTTCTTCTTTCTTGCCCTTGTCTGCATTTTTCTTCGGACTTGTTTTTTTCTTCGGGGCTGCCTTCGCCTTTCCTTTTGGAACTGCTTTTGCTCGGGCATATGTCGTTGCCTTCACCTGCTTGCCAACCACTTTTGTCTTCGGACTTGCTTTCGGCTTTGCTTTCGACTTTGCTTTGGACTTAGAGGCTGTTTTCGGATTCTTTTGGGAAGTGGGTGCCTTTGCTTCTGGAGTCTGCGCTTCAAGTCTCTGCCCACGCTCCTCAAGATTTACCAGGGTTTTAAAATTTATAACCATTAAACATTGCAAAGAAACCTATACAACATTTTCTACTTGTGAGGGCAACATAGCTGCTGGAACTTCCTGTCATACAAACATGTTTATATGGCTTGCATACACAAGAAAAAACAATAATATTAATTTTTTGGAACTTCAGTCCTCAGAACTGCCATGCGAGACCATGTCAGGTTCTTGATGTCCACCAAGATCCTTTGTAGCATCAGCAGGCAGAGGTTCCTGTCCAGCTGGGGCTAGCTCCTGCAGTTTTTGTTTGCAAAATGGAAAGCCTGCCTTCTAAACAATTCTGAAAAAAATGTTTTGTCTACAACAATGGTGTCCTCGTCCCTCATGCCACCTTCTTCAAGTCGGAGGGTCTTTTGGGAGTCCGGGGAGTCAAACACAGTCTTTTCTGTCGCTGGGGAGATCATCTCGAAGTCAGAGCTAGTGAACAGGGTGCCATTTGCAAACTTTTCCTGGGTCTCAAAAGCTTCTTGTACTTCATCATGCCCTATGGAGTCAGCAGTTGCAGTGGTGATGTAAGAATCAATGAGCTTGCCCAGCTTGTCCACAGTCTCCTCCCCCATGTTTGGAATGAATGTTTCCTATCTAATTTTAACCACTATGTGCCAAGTCACCCAAATAAAATAATTACATTTAAGTGCTCCAACTATCTATCCCATGTCACCCCTGTCCTTTTTTGGATACCTGGTCTTCTCTGCCTTTGAGCCATCATGATCTGATGGCTCACCCAAGCTGCCGGCAACATCCAACGTCTTGGAGGCCACCTGCCAATGAGTGACAATATTAAGTCGAAAAGATTTCACATGATGTTGATGCATAAACAAACAAAGCAGTAGTAGGGTCAGTAGTCACAAATAAAAAAGCTGTGACCAAGTCGAACAAATGAGCTGCTGCACTGCTAGTTTCTGGCACTGCTGTGTCCACAAAGCTGTGGGAACGCTGAAGCCCCTTGCCACCCTTCTCATCCTCAAAGCACTTTGTGCCAACCTTCTCATCATTGAAGCCCTTTGAGCCACCCTTCTCACCCTCAACGCCCTTTGTGCCAACCTTCTCATCATTGAAGCCCTTTGAGCCACCCTTCTCACCCTCAACGCCCTTTGTGCCAACCTTCTCATCCTTGAAGCCCTTTGAGCGACCCTTGTCACCCTCAACACCCTTCGAGCTAACCTTCTCATCCTCAACGCCCTTCGAGCTAACCTTCTCATCCTCAAAGCCCTTTGGGCCAACCTTCTCATCCTTGAAGCCCTTTGGGCCAACCTTCTCATCCTTGAAGCCCTTTGGGCCAACCTTCTCATCCTCAGAGCCCTTTGGGCCACCCTTGTCATCCTTAAAGGTCTTTGAGCCAACCTCATCATCATCTGAGACAACAGCAGCATCCTCTGAATCACCATGCTTGCGCTTTCCACCACTGTGCTTCTTCTTGCGGGGTTCCTTCTCGGTCTTATCCTGGACACACAAATCACCAACAGTTCCAGTGAAACATGTACCAACAGAGGCACACAACAACAAGCATTCCAAGAGTAAAAAGCACAACTTGAAAAGCTACAAAAGGTCCACTGGGCTTTTTTGACATACATAAAACACATCAGATATTGGCAAATTGTGGCACTCCTGCTTCTTCTTGTGTTGCTTTCCATCTCCATCATCCTTCTTGCGTCTTTTGCTTTTTTTTTATCACCTCCACCTTCACCTTCATCTGCATCAGGATCACTATGGTCATCACCATCGCCTCTTTGAAAGTCGTCGAACATACCATCAAACTCGTCTTTCTTGAACTTTTTTGCTGCAGGCCTCTTCAAAGTCTTTGGGGGGTCTTCATCATCATTCGTTTCATTTTTTGGTGTCTTTCCCCTGGGTTTTTTGATTTTGGGCTCATCACTTTCATCCTTTGGTTCTTTTCCTAACTTCTTTTCTTCAGATGCCCTCTCATCTGAAGAACTTGCCAGCTCACAGCGCTGAAGCAAAGACGGTGCTGCACCTGTGGCAAGTTTGGGGTCCCATTTCTGTTTTCCAAAAGTTTCAAGTTGAAAACCAGCTTTGCAAAAAGCTTTGCAAAAAAGAAAAATAGCACAGCTATGATAAAAAGCTAGGCACGGCTGGAAGCAGGTTTGGCTGAAGCCTTTGGTGTAGTCTGTGAGGAAGAAGCCTTTGGCACCACACTCAATAGGCTCTGGTAGCTCTCAAGTTCAAACCGAGGTGTAACTGTAGCACACCCCTGGTAGCCAACCCCCAAGGTCCGGGATGGTGTCCCCATGACACCACAAAGCAGGGCTAAGATCCTTTTGGTGTTGGATTTCTTGAGCCCATGAATGCAAAGGGTGCATCTTAAAATTGGTGGGCTCATGTCCACCTGATATTCATAGAAGAGTGGGTTTCCAATAATGCAGGGTACCCCAAAATAGATAGTACAGTTCATTGTCTCAGTGAAAATCCCACCAAAAAAGAATATATTTTAGGGTACCTCCATTTTAGGAAATTTCCATATAAACATCAACAATTTGACAATGTATAGACACTGGTATGTTAAGGATATGATCTGCAAATTGTAAGTTTTCCACATATATTGCTAAATCACTAGATGGTAACAGCCAAGGGTCTATGACTACCAATCAGCGCACCAAGATGCAATCTATTGCAACCACGAAGATTGATGGTTTCGTGAAACCATGGGGCAGTTTTACCCCCAAACCAGCCAAGCATTCATTCCTTGGCACCCCAAATGCACTGCTTGCAGTGCAAAACACTACACTAATGGCCTCAACCATGACCGGTGTTGTCACCAGTTTTCATCCAAAAACCTTTGCCTGAAGCTATCCCACAAATCATTTTAAGACGCGACTGCCTCAAAAGTTGGCTGCTAAATATGCTGAATGATTGTAGTTTAGATGTTCAAAATTCAATATGTTTCGAACATTGGGATCCTTCAGTTTCCAGGCCACCAACTAAAAGAGTTGATACATCTCATCCATCTTCCCCTCAAAGGTGTGGACCAACATTGCCACAGGTCGAATCGGCACCAAATCCTTGCCACTTCCGCTTTGGTCTGGCTGAAGCCTGGCATCCATGGAGGGCAAAGTGGAGCAAAGTGGCATCAGGTTTTTGATGATCACAAAACACAACCCCATGAAAAAATGAATCATGTTTTTGATGATCAAAACATCAAATTGGCAGAAATAACCTCACTGTAGTTCACTGTTGGATGTGTTGGTTTTGTGGGCTAAGAGGTTTGTTTACTATTTGCCAAATGATCAGTGTAAATTGAAATATTTGAAATATGCTATGATCGGCTGTTTGGTTGATTTGGGGTCCCATATTTTTTTCAGCAGCCAAAGGCCTCAACCGCCATGAGATTTTCAGATTCTCAGAGGTGCGTAGCTTTGTCAGCATAAGCTTGGCACCAAATGTCATAGCTGAGCAAGATGCCTAGGAACTGAACTGCTTAAAGAAAAATGGTTTCAAACATTGTTCAACTTAAAAACATTGTAGAACAAAAACAACAATGATGCAAGAATATGGAAGATTATGGGGTTCACAGGTTGGCTCAGAAGAAACAAAAATAGAGAGGATGATGAAAGATGTGGTTGAACCCTTGAGCCCACCTTCTTTCTCTTGCTTTCCTTGGGCTGGTCGAGGACAAAGCACACTTTCTTCTGCGAGGTAAATGTGATGTCATTCGACCCCTCCTGTTTGTCCAGCGAATGCATGGACAATTTCACATTGACCTCCCCTGCATTTTCCAAATCCTTGATGGCCTCTTTGTAGGTCAGCACCTGCAGTTTACTTCCACCCCCATGTTCTCAGAATGAACAAAAGCAAACTAAAAAAATGGGAACACCTGTAAAACAATGATACCCAGACGTTTGTCACAAAAAATTGGTGGTCATTTGTACCCAAGCACCTTGCCCCAAATGTCCAATGCCTTCATATGTTGGGGCAGGCGACGGTCAGGTTCCAAGATGCAGAACTCAGAGGCTAGGGCAATTTTGTAGCCAAGCCAACGCCCTGTCACATCGCTTTGCACATCCATTGCTTCAGGACCCTCAACAAAATCGCCTGATCCAAAGCCGAACAATTCGATTGGCCCCTTCACCTGGAAGCTTTCCTTCCTGTTGTCATTGCCACAAATCCACAGGGACTCTTGCTGAGAGTCATACACCAAGCGAAAGCCCCCACACGACAGTGCAAGCCTCAGGGAAAAATCAAACCACAGGACCCCATCCTAACCCATGATTTGGTGGCTGGGTACCATGTCATAAGCCTGAACTAACTTAGAAAATATGTTTCAAATAAGATCAAAGGAGCTTGTCAGCAATGTTTGCCTCATGTTCAGCCACTTTGACACTACTATCGATGCGGATCCTCTTGGACTCACTTGTGGCTGCATCGCCTCAATGTTGGAAGCAACCCTTGACACCTACTATCCCCCCAAAAAGAAAGTAAAAACAAACACACATGTCCCAGTCACTGCTGCCCCCTGACGGAGCCGCATCAGATGCTCCACGCTTGATGCCATGTGGATTGTACTTTTTGTTGTGGGCCTCCACCAAGTCAGCCACCTGCAACTGGAATGTGTCAATGCCAGACCAGTAGTCCACCAGGTTCTGCTTGATGGCCAGACCATTTGGCACTGCAACGCAAACTTGGAAGTCTGGCATGGCTACTTCATTGGCACTGTTCTTCAGATCTTGCACCACGCTTTCAAAGCATGGAAGCCCTGGCAACTTGAGCGATCCACTTCTGCACATCGAGTAAGCTTTCTGGCCAACCACCGACGCACAATAGGCAGTGTCAGTGTGGCTGTGGCATGCAGTTGAGCATGCCCACTTCTTGCCTGGAACCCCAAAAAGCATTGAGGAATAAAACATGCACAAGAACTTTGAGCAACCAGCCAATTCCCACAGATGAAACATTACAAACGCCCAGCTCCCACACCCAATTCCCACACAGTCCTCCTGCCAACTGTCCCATGGCATATGATGCTGGCCAGCCATCGAAGCCCAACAGATCAATCACCACATTGGATGTGTCCTCATCCATCGGGCTCAGCAAACCAGATGTGACCTTCTCAACGATGCTCATCCCACCAAGGTGCTGCAGGGTAAAAGCAGTGTGACTTTGAAGCAACAAATCTTGTAAGTTTAACCATTTTAAACCAATTTGGGAAAACATACGTAATCTCTTTAGGCTAGACTGCCTGTTTGAGCTCCTGCACCCGTGTCAAACGGCCATCTGTTGCGAAGCGGCCATTGTTGCGCTCCACCTTCATCATTTCATTCCTAGCATGCAGCTATGTGCTGATAGCATAAATTATTGAAATAGTGCTATGGAATCTGACCCCTTTCTTGAAAGCATCTTGGCCAAAACTGAGCCAGGGAACCTTGGCAGCATGCTCACTGAAGAGACCACGCCACTCTTGTAGAGAGCACTCTTCAAGAAGCAGTTTCCCTTGTCTTTGCTGGTGATCATGAGGGCAGAATGATATCCTTCTCTGGTGCCATAGACAGTCGTGGGCTCGAAGAAGACAGACACTGGGCGGACCTGGGCCAACAAGGATGCTACACAGAAGCATGCTGCAAAACAAACCCACCACTATTGCAAACAAGTTGAGATTTGAACAGATCAAATCTAGCTGATGGTATTTGCTGCACAAAATCTCAATCTGTAAAGTTGTTAAAGCACCATGCCTTGAGATCTCTCTGGGCATCCATGAATGTGCACTGCAACTTGTATCGGAAGTCACGCAAGATCGCATCTGCAGAGGTGTGTGCTGCTGGATCTTCCTCTGCTTCTGCGTCACTTCCTGCTTTGTAGCTTTATCTTTTTTTTATTTGTTTGGGAGCCCGTTTCAACATAAAACATCAAAAGCTAACAGCAGCTGATTTTTTAAAACTATAGTCCTTCTTCTTGCTTCTTCACTGCACCCTGATCATCCTCCTCTCTGTCTTCATCTGCCTCATCCTTCTCTTCTTTCCTGACTGGACATCCCAACCATTTTTTGGGATTTGGTCTGACCAAGTAAATGCAAAGTATATCAAAGTATGAACACCAAATTTAGCCAAGCCACTTGGGAGAGCTCCGCAAATCTTGTGCCCTGTTTGGCAAAAGCACAAAAGCAACGGAAGTCCTTGGGAAGGCATGCAGGAATTGTTGGACTTGTTCCACAGTGAAGAGGATCTTCTTTCCAGGCACTACACCTGCAGCAACATAGTTCACCCACAGCATGATGCGCTCGCTGTCAGGGCGACGGATGCCAGAGCCGAAAGAGGTGAGTATCTCCTGGAGCCAGGGTTCATTCTTTGCAGCGAAGGTCGAAGCTTCTGCATCAGCTTCAACTCCTATTGTGGAGGTAGTTGTGAAGGAGAAAAACAAAAATAATAGTGGGCAGTGTTTCATCAAAAATGTGTCTGTTAATATTTCTTGCACCCAAAAAGTCAGTAAGAAGAACTTATGTGTCCAAAACTGAAAATATGCTTTATGCACTCAAAAAGTCAGGGAGAAAAATAGATGTGTCCTTGTGCTGATTTGGGAAGGGTCACATCCCATACAGGAATTGCTTCTTGGACGAACTCGTTCACCAGCTTCCACGCTGTACCATGCATTTTCTTGCAGGGAAAGTCAGACATGGTGGTTGTTTAAGGTATTGAAGTATCACACCTTTCTATTCCTTGGGTTCAGCCTGGTGAAACCGATATACCTACTATACCCTGTACTGGTTGATCATTGTTGACATTAGATATATCGAGGTATACCACTCTTGACAGGCACTTAAGGGATGAATCTCAAATCTGAAGCTTTGTCAAAGAAATCAGCATAGATCACAATTGGGTACCCCAAGAGTTCGATGGTATTTGGATGGTTTGTTTCAAAAACATGCTGAAATCAGTGGTAAAATCAATGTAATATTTACCCCAAATTGTGGTATAAACATAATTGGATATCTTCAAATTTACCCCATACCCATGTATAAACAATATATTATTTAGGGTTCCCAAATCCTCAAATTTGTCCCTGTACCTATTATACATTAAATACAATATAATTATTTAATACATATTATATTATATTGTAGGTGATTTTGGAGGTATACCTAGATAAGATGGCCTATTGAAATTTCAATGTCTCGAAGCCTCCAAGCTGCGAACAAGGACTGAGCGAGCCCTTGAGGAGTTCATCTCAGCTGTTGCCAGGAACTTATCCTGCAAGCACTGGTCGTTTGCCACGTTGGTGCTAAAGAGATTGTAGGCCGCTTGCAAAGAAGTTTTGCTCGCATTGTTCACTGAAGACTGAGCTGATACCACATGATCTTCCTGCTGTTTGCCACATGCTTCCAAGACGAACCCAATCTTCTTCCAGTCAAAGTCTGGGTCAAGCCCTTTCCTTGGATGATTACAAAATGGATTATAAAAATTATAAAAAACCATACCCTGCTTCCCTGCTACTTGAAAAGCACCGTTGTGTAGACCAAGCTTCACTTGAGTTCGAAGCTCATTGTCCAAGGTCCTTGGTTCATGGATGCATGGATGGATCTTGGCATTTAAGACCCTGTGGCTTGGATGTTTACAACCCTTGTGATTTTCCTGTGGGGTTCGTTTTTCAAAATTAAAACAACATAAAATAATGATCATTGGTCAAAATTAAAACAACATAAAATACTAATCATTGGACAGGTTGTTTTTTTTTTTGGGGGGGGGCAGGGGCAAAGATGGACTTGGTATATCACCCAATGTTATTGATATCCAGGAAATTCCCGAGAATCAATCTCTGTGTTGGGATTGGTGCTATTTCCAGAAACCCATGCTAGTTTGGAAAGCGTGTTATCTTTGGATGCCAAAAACAACACATTTTTGTGGTGCCCCTTATCCTTTTGTGGGCCCTATAGCGATAAATTTCAAAAACGAACCATAAAGATTGTCAACCTTCAAACATGGAGAGATACATTACAAAAAAGTTGTTATATAGAAACCATGGTTTCGGTTTTTTGGGGGGATATAGTTGCATACCGTTTTTATTTACATGGGGTTCCCCAACTGAACAAAATCAATGGGCAAGAGACCCAACAGATTGACATAAATAAAGAATGGATGGGTTTGGGATGAAATCCATGTCACCACATGTGGTGTACAATATTGTAAGTGACATGGGCTTTCATTCCCAGCTATTTGTAAGCAACATGAACTACATCCCCAAAATTGCCAATGATATGTTATGGTCTTAATTCCCCAAGCACTGCCAGTGACATGGTTTGCATCCCCAAAATTGCCAGTTACCAAAATTGCCAATGACCAAAACTGGAAGTGACCAAAATTGCCAGTGACCAAAATTACCAATGACGTGGTTTCCTCAAATATTGCCAGTGACGTGGTTTGCATCCCCAAAGTACTGTGAGTGACGTGGTTTGCACCCCAAAACAATCCAAGTGTTGCGGTTTGAATCCCCAAAATACTGTGAGTGACGTGGTTTGGTTTCCCAAAATACGGTTGGTGACGTGGTTTGCTTTCACAAAGCCTGGTGAGTGATGCGCTTTTCAGAAACCACATCACTCCCTAGGCCCCAAGTGCAACCCCAAGTGTATTTGTGGCAACTCCCCACAACATGTTTTCAGTGTAATTTCACTTGTTGATTTTAAGACCAGAAAGTGATTCGGAATCTGAATTCCACATCACAAATCCTAGGTTTTTGAATAAGTCAAAATTGGGAAGCCCAAATTTCAAAATCCCAAAAATCTCGACATTCCCCATAGATGCTAGTTTGTGATGTGGAATTCAGATTCCACATCACGTTCACTGCTAAAATCTGTCTTGCCAAAAATACAGTCTTTGGCTGGTTTTAGCAAATCCTGTGCAGCCAAGGTTCCCGAGCTTCCACTGCGCCATGATGCTATTCAGCTCTGTGCCTTGACCAAGATACCCTTGAAGGAGGGGCCAAACATGGTTCATGAGGCAGCAGTTCTGGAGTAGCTCAACCATGCCAGCTTGGTCCCGCTGAGCCATCTTCTGACAAGGTAGCAAAAGATGAACATTGGGAATAATATAAATCTGATACACATGTTTTTTAGGAACCCCCTGCCTTCTGTTTGCTGGGAGCGTTCTTGCCCACCTTCCGGTTGAAATCTGACAGTGCCCGATCTGCCCACAACTCAATGGCATCATCAGTCACTGTCTGGCAGCAAAGGCAGGGCATAAAAAGGTTGTCGTTTGTCAATTTCATGTTTGAAAGACTTGGACTCTGGGATCATTCATGTTTTAGGGCCCCAAAATTTTGAAAGGATATTATTACTATAATTACTCAGTAACCTTGGACAAAACAGTTTAAAATTTAAATGCCCACTGGGTCAGATGAAATTTGTTTGTTCATCTTTGAGGGGGCACGTTAAAAACCCTGCCTGGATATCCTTCCAAATCTTTGGCACATTCTCCAAAAGCTCGGTCCCAGGGACAAAGTAGTCACCCTCCATGTTCTCCATAGTCATGGCTGCAGGGCAAACGGAGGACACTGAACTCTAAGTTAACAACATGACATCTCATTGACTCTTGATTTTCTTCTGGTGGCCCTAAGGCTCCTTAAGGCCACTAGTGGTCCTAAGTCCTTTCAAGTTTGTTAGATTTGATCTTTAATATACACAAGAAAGTTGTTGGGGGCAACAACATTGCAATAAGACATGGGGCCTGCATGCTCAGGCTTCGATTCACTGTAGCAGATTTTCAAAGCTTCCCAAAGCCCACTGGGACATCGAAGCAAGTTGTAGATCAACCGTCGCATGGAGTCAGTCACCCTCCAGCCCTTAGTTGAAATTTTGGAATAAGACATTGATGATTCAAAATTGAACTGAATTTTCTTTTAGGCATGCATATATTAGAGACAAGGCTCGCGATGGTTTCCAACAGTCTTGTTGTAGTCAGCTATGCACCCATATAGGACATCACGAAGGGCACTCTTGCGAGCCTGTGGGGCAGATTGCTTGATCCTCACTGTCTCCTTGAAAAGCAGCATCATATCCAAGGCAGAGGGCTTTGTCTTCTCGGCAGTGCGATTGGCCAGGCCTGGGCTCAGGGGATTTGGAAAAAACAAAATTTGGCTGCAGTTCAATGGATAAAGAAAACCAAGGGCCTGGCAAAGTGTTTCATACAGGAAGTCCTCAGCCTTGGCATGCTTTGTGAAGTTGCACTTGATGTAGCGGAAAGTGGCAATTGTTTTTGCCATACCTTCATCTTCAGACAAAGCATCCTCTGTGATGCCCTTAGCTGCAGGATGGGCAAATCTTTTTCAATATCAGTCAATGATTCTTTGATATTCTTTGATTTTGATGGGGTTAGGATATGGAATGTAAAAAATTGAAACAGGTTCCAAGGATCCAAGTCAATCAGCAAAGCAAGGATGCCAAGCATGATGATGGCTTTGGTCTGGCCATCCACGTAGCCAACTGTGAACGGTTTGATAGTATACACTGACCTGTCAGCCTCCACAGTTGTCATGTCAAACTTGATCTCTAGGCTTTCACGGTGTGCCTCATACCCCCGGTTCAGAAACGAGGGAAAGTGAGCACGGACTTGGTGATTGGCTGGCCATCGGCCCATCAAGCCATACTTGGCACTCTCTGCAAAACTCAGCATCCACAAATCCAGAATTAACCCATTGGAGCTGGTCATGGGCACGTTCATGGCGGGCGACTGGATTGGGATGTGCTTGGCAACGCATTCCATATCAAAGATCTTCTGCATTGCCTTCAGGCAAGATGGTAAAATGGGATAAAGGGAGCTGGGCAGCTATGGGAATTTGTTTGATTGGCCCAAATGCCAGCCTAGGAACATCCATGAAACGATCTGGCCCAGCTTCGTCACGTCCATATTGAAGCCAAAGCCAAGCTCCCATGTTGGAATCTAAAGTGATCTGCAGGGCACAAGATTGTTTCATGTGTAAATTCCATGCTTAAAAAAATTAAAGGCATCAGTAGCAGCTTCAAGATGTGACTTGTTTGGATCAAGCCTCCTCCATTCTTGAAATCAAAGTCTCCTTGATGGACGGTGGGTCTTGACCAGGTTCAATTGCCTGACAGGTAGGGGTCATACGAACACTTAAAAATGATTCAATCAATTTCATCAAAATTGATGCACTGATTTCAATTCATGTATATAATTGCATTGAGGCACCAGTCTTGGATCTCCACCAGTGTTGCCAGACTCCATGTTGCGAGGCTCTGGCTTCAGTATGCTCATGCAAAAGCGAGCGCTACCAACTACTTTCGAGTGGCTTGAAAGCAGCCTGTGTGCAATGGTGTAGTGCCATGCTCATGACATGCCCTCAAATAGACAATGTGGGCCCACACAAAACACAACGTTTGTTTGCTGAAATCTGAACTATATTTTCACCTCATACATGCCAAGCTAGTGGTAGCGATGAAAGGTTACCCTCATGGTATGGAGGGTGTGAATGTCTGGGTTTCCCAGAATCACAGCACCTCTCTGAATCCTAGCAATATTCAAAAGAAGGAATTCAATCCTTCGTGGGGGCACACGAGCCCTAGCAATTTGGCCAGCCAGCATTCGAAGATAATCAATGCCACGGCTATATTGGTGGTAGTTGGATTCAAGATAGTCTGCCAGATCACTTAGCACCTCTTTTCGATCATCATCAAGATAGGCTGCCACACCTGCCAGTTTCAAACATATCTAATTTTGGGGGCAAACACTTTGGTCATTTGTCATCAATGGCCTGGGACTTGATTTGAGGCACAGCGACGCAGAGCATTCGTGGTCTCATCGATTGCGTTTCCAGGCCATACTGCCAAAATCTGCTGGGAAAGGGTGACATCTGAGATAAAGCCCTTGACCATGAGGAAGACATCATTGGGACTATCCCCGACAAACCGTGGAGGAATTCGATTCCCAACATCTGCCAGTAGGTGCTGTGGCAAACCTCATGCTGATGGGCAACCAGTGGTTACCTGGTGATTTGAGTTGGGTTCCCCTAGTTGTTGCTATCAGGTACCCCTCCAACTTCACCAGCCCAACCACCAGTTAATGACCAAAATAATATTAAAACTTGGTAATGTTATTTTTTGAAAGACATAAATTAGTTCTAGAAAATTGATTGAGCCAGGGCACAATCCCTTCTTGCAAACACAAAGCTATGGGGAATCTCCTTCAAGTCATGATTCAGCTTCCGTTTCCGGTATGCCCCTGACAGAGTTGAGTACTTTGCCAAAGAATCTGTCCAATTGCGAATGCTTGTGATGTACTCTGCATGGAACTCAATGCCAGCACGTGCAAAACCAGAATGTAGCCGTTGTTTCAACCACCTGAGCCACAGGCATTGAGGAGCAATGCAACTGAATGCAACTGGCTTGCAGAAGCAATGCTTTGGTGATGGCTGACACTTGGCTCAACTAAGGAAAATGCGAAACGATGTCATCAGGTGTTTGCCTAGGATGGTGCCATTGATGCACTGGGGTACATATGTTTGAAACCACAGATGGTGCCTGTGCAAAGACCATAAATTGAGTTAGGCTGCATGGATTCATCAGCTTGACGTATCAGCTTCGACACCATTCCGAAGAATGCATCTAAGTACAATGGCACTGGCTGACAAACAGAGCTAACCCTAAAAAAACTGGTGTGGACTGAGTCAAGCACCCACGTCTTGATGCGTGTGTCCAACTGCCATGTGCTCATGGCCCATCGAGGCAAAGTGGCGGCTGCACACCATATGGCAGCAGTATCTGCCAAGGTGGGCATTGCGATATTCCTGAGGTTGAGTTCTACATAAACTGAAACACGTTTCATATCAATCCATACTATATGTTTGGGTACACTTAGATATCATTACTTCTAACAGGGCTCACAACCAAACTTCATAAAGTTTACAGGGCAAATGATGTTGGACAGTTTTACCAAACAATCAAAATCAAGAATCCTTTGGCGTGTTGTCTGTAAAGACACGAAGGTGATTTGGCCAGGGTTCATTGTTGCGTTGGCATTTAGCAAATGTCTTATCCAGGCTTAGGTTCAAGACTTCAAGGCTCCAGTCACTTCCTGTAGATTGCTCTGCATCACATACATACACCATCACAGAGTGGCCATGCATGATGCATGCAGTGAACTCCAGTTCTGGCCGCTTCTTCGTTTCCAATGGCTTCGGTGTTCGCCCTGCTGCGAAACGAGGAAGGCGAAATTTGGACTTGTCCATGGAATCGATGATGCAGACAAGGATGTCACGTTGCTGCTTGGCTCTAGTTTTCATTTGGGAATAGACCTGCCGGTCACTGAAAACTCCCCCCAGATGCCTCATGTAGCAATCACAGGCAGCTGCATGGTCATTGATGCCCTTGGCATTGCGAATGGCACTCTTGAGCTTGTGGCAAACTGCACACTGAGCATGTGTTGACTCAGCCCTGAATTTAATTTTTCGGCGCCAACCTGATGTTCTGAGGGTACGAAAGAATGTTGAAGCTGAAGCTATAGATTGTTGCTGTGCAAAACATTCAGCTTGGTAAAGACGGTACAGGTCTGAATAGGTACCTGGTGGAAGAAACCGTCTTGGCAGAGTTGAAGGATCATGATCCCCAATACCCATGTCCATTTCGAAAGAATTCGTCATCAGACAGTCAAGCAATCGTTTGCGACCTTCTTCTGTAGATGCCCACTGCTCTTTGGGGTTGAAGTGCATCCTCAATATGGAGCTAATGTCAATAAAAAAGAATTACTAAATACTGCCAATACAACAAGTCAGTGTCACAAGGCACTTCTGGGGCCATGGCTCATGGGGTAAAGTCTCTGCTATGCCCCAATAGGTCTTCCGCAAGAATGACAGCACAGATGCAGCTGCTGGGGCACTATGTGAGTGATGTCCTAGGTTCCCATGTGTTAAAAAATAGAAAACATAGTTTGGGGATAATCCCATGAATTTGGGATTCTGAAAAATAGCACATATCACCCTTTAGAACCTAGGGACCCACTATATACTCACATTCAAGGGCATATGCAATAACTAAAACACATATTGTGAAAAGGGGGCCAAGCTTCCAAGACTTCGGCCATCTGTTCCCTTGAAATTCCGTTTGCATCTCAGAATTCGCTCCTTGCCAATGCCCAGGATTTGGAGCCAAGCCTGTCTGCATACCTGAATACCTGAGGCCAGGGAATGATGTGGGCAAATAAATAGCAAATTTCAATGTGCAGTTTTTCCTTTGGATAAAAAACGGGCCACCTTGGATAAACCAAGAAGTTTTCCCACGACAACTGCTTGATGAACTGTTTGATGACGATGATGATGATGATGATGATGGGGACTCTGATCCATCATCCTCGGGTTCTCCCTCATCCATCATCAGGGAAGAGTTCTGCAAGCTCCACAACCTAAGCCACAGGGATTGCAGAAAGAAAGAAAGAAAGTAGAGAGGTTTAGAAACTGCTGCTTTCCAAGATATGGCAAGGGACAGGGAATCCTGTGAATTCTTGCTCAATGACCAGAATGTGACCACCAAGGTCATAACTGTTTTCAAAGTGAGATTGCGTTTGCACCTCGATTTGCAGCATGGCCTCTTCAATGCCATCTCAACACGTTCCAGTGATTTCCCATTCTGTTGATAACTGGTGCCACCACCTTCGCTGAGCTTTGAAGGCTTTAGCAAAACAATTTATACCAGGTATTTCTCAAAAATGATGATTCCCAAAATTGCTTCAAGGGTTTAGCTTAAAAGGACATTTCGAGCACTAACCATGTTGAGAAATTCTTGTCCCCAAAAAATAGATCCAATTTTTGTGGGGTTCAGCCACATGACAAATAAACACCAAATCTGGGTATGACTAGACACTTTCAGTTTCCAGCTCCAAAGACTGCAGCTGATTCCAAGACAAATTGCAGATGGATTCCACCAATGGCCTCACCTTCTTGGCAGGTGGCTCCACAGCATCTTCAGATGATGAAGCACTGCCAGAGCTGCTGCTGTCATACTCAGATGACGAGGCGCTGTACCGCTGCAGTGCCATGTGTCTCAAAACGTCTCAAACAAGCTGTTTCAAGAAAGCATTCAATGCTATTAGATTCCAATGAGTTATGTTCATCATATCTTGAAGATGTTGTAAAATCTCAAACTGACATATCCCCAAATATCTTTTGAAATTGCCAAAGTGGGCCATAAATGGCAACTGCTTGATGACTTGTCCCACTTGCTAAGTCTGCATGCTAGAGCTGCTAGACAGAAATCTTGGAAACATGTTTTTCCTTTTGCACAAATCCAAACCTTTCGTCCTTTGGAGAGGGAGCCGGTCCTCACAAATCCAAAAACTTTGTATTTTGGAGAGGCAGTCGGTCCTCTTTGGTGACACTGTGCCAGTTCCATGCAGCAAGGTCACATGCAGAGAACCCTGCCAACCATGCACATGTACAGGCACGCAAGTTCATCGCATTCCCACCCAAGTCTTCAAGCTCCTTGGTCACATGCCACTTGGCCCAAAACAAGATGATACCCCCATGATATGTCTTATATTTATAATATTTTATAATATCATATTAAATCATATTATAAATTATTATACATATTATAGAATCAATATTCCCATGATATACCCCTTTGAATGGAAATTGTGAAAATTTTGATGCTGATTCAAGCCAAGGCTCACGCTTTGTGAGGTGACGTACATTTAAGTGATTCATAGGGAAAGACTGAAACATCATCTTCTCCAAGTCTGCCAGGGGCAAATATGATCAAATATGGGCAAATAGAAGATTAACAAAAAGATAGGACAGTGGGAGAAAAGTTTGCGCAAAGGTTTTGGAAAACAAAAACCACCAGGCCTAGCATGTAGCGTCCCATGGCCATATGGTAGAACTCACCACACGGTGTGATGCAGGGAACGTGGACAGAATGGCCCATCCTCTCAATGGATTGACTCAAATTCACCCATCCATGGTAGCCACCCTTCACACCTTGAAGATTGCCAGTGCCTTGGTAAGGATGGGATATATCTCTGACCACTTTGATGCCTGGATATGTGCTGCCGAGCTGCATGTCTCTGCCGTGGATTCGATATATGATCGAAGTTTTCCCGCTGAAGGCACCGAGAAACTTCAGCTGGATCCACCTGTCCATTGGTGAAGCATCCATGTTTTTAAAATGGTTTCCAAATTGATGGTGTTTCAATGGGGGATGTTTGACAAAAGCCTGGCCTCCAATTGTTCCATCATTTTCCAATGTTTCAATGGCCACCGTGGCTTATTGTATTCAGGCCTCGGGTTTGCCCAGCATTGCTTCTAAAATGATACAATCTTTGAGGAAAATGACAACAAAAAATATTTGAATCATACCAAGAAGCTTGTGGTTCAGGGCAATGTCATCGCCACCCCTTCCTTTGGACCGACGGGTGGCCATATCCAGTTGAACCAGCTCATGGTCCATCGGGAACATCAATCGCTGCCTGGTGTGGAAAGAAATTCCCACCAAAATTGATACCTGATAACCCCTAAGCCCCATCAAAAAATGATATTTTTTTCACCAAGATACGGATTAGGAGCCGGAACATCCACCTTGAGACGTTCCACCATTTCTTTCAAGACCCTCTCCAGTGTGGCATTGTTGTCAATGTCCTTGCGCAGGATCTTGCGATGAATCACCAATATATAGATGCGCCGTCGCTTGGCAACATCACCAAGGGCCAATGGGTCAATAATGACCTGATGGGAAAGCACACAGATAATAGTTATTAAGGGTGTCTTTGAATTGGGGAATGGAAATTATCAGATTGTACAAAGTAATGATATTGTTCAAAAAGGGCCAATAACATTAAATTATTATCAGACCAGATTGTTTCCAAACAAGAAAGCAATTAGTTTCAGCACTCAAAGGGGAAACATATTGAAAGGTGGGCCAAGTTACCTTGGCATACACATAACCATATTGCTTGAGGCGGTTGAAGGCCTTCTCAGCCTGCAAGAATCAGGGGTTAAAAACACCACCAGATGTGGATGCTAAGAACAACATGTTTCGAAACATACCAAACAGCATTACCATGCCTGGTCCCATACCCTCATCATTCCCAGCACGTTCTCGAGGCAGCTGATCCAAGGAGATGAGCGAGCAATTTCAGCCAGGCAGCCGAAGAATACTCGAGCTTCTTTTTCTTGAAAGTAGCGGCTAGAGTTATGAAGTATCGAAAACCTTAGGTGAGGAAATGGCCATGTTCCAGAACAAAGTGGTGGAAAACCAGGGGTGAATCTTTTCTGAAACTTGCCAGGGGACGGCTTGCAACTGAATCCACATGAGTACGCATTCTTGTGCTGTGCAACTTCCGATGTGTCTCTACCTTCCATAGAAGTGAAGATCCTTGCTTGATTCAGTAAAGCAGTAAAAATGCTAGAGAAACAAGAGTGCACACATCCCAGAGAAAACAACAAAACACTGCAAATGTAAAAGGTTTGAAACATTGCAGAAAAGTATCCTTCGTGGCTGCAGATTGCAGAGAATAAATTTCAGTGGCCCAATGGCATAGTCACACCTTACATTGGTTTCGATGACCAAAAAAGAAAGCCTAAGAAAGCATACTATCTGTTTTGTAAGTAGGGCCAAACAAACCAGGCAAGGGACGAAGACATGAGCTTGGACTTGTATGGTGCCATCTTGAGCAGTGAGAGGAATGCCCCTTCAGCGCCACTGCAGTCTGACTGCAGGTAGATTGGATGCATCTTGTTGATAAAGTCTTGCATGCCTCAGGGATGTCCAAATTTGCAAGATACATTCAACATTCAACATCCCTTTAGTCCCAGAGTATTTTACTGATGTGTTGGGGCATGCTGAACCCCCTCCTGATTTGCGAAGCATGTCATAGCTCCAGTCGTCCATATAACTCACCTGTGCAGGCGTCCATCGAGGCTCGTCACGATGATTGTCAGACCTCAGATGTTGGCAAGTGAGATAGAAAAAAAGAGTGCAAATGGTGGGGCTTCAGGTTGGTGAAAGCTTGTAAAAAATATGTTATGATTGGAAAGGTACGTTCTCCTCTTTGCAATGGCAAGTGGTGTCATTGACAGAGATTCAGAACGACTGGACCCAACAGAGTCATAGGAATACTCATCCATGTACTCATCATAGCTTGAGGAAGATGAGGATGCACTCTCATCATCATCAGGCTCCTCTGAAGATTCCAGTTCAACACGGCCTGATGGCATTGAAAATTGGTGATGGAGACCTTTGTGAATAGCCCCCCACAAAATTGAAGGGGGCAAACATAAATCAAAAATTGCTACATCTATTCCATGGCACCACCTGTGCCACCAACTATTGCTGGGCTTCGGCTTCGTGTGGACATGGCTTGTAGGCTAACATGGCATCATATCAGAACAATGATAGAACCTGTATATGAGAAGTTCTTAACATATTGTCTTTGAAATTATTGGATATTTAGCACATCTGGCAGCTTCGATCTGAATGGCTGGGAAGAGGCCAAGGACCTGGTTCCACTTGAGAAAGGACCTGGTTCACATGGTCAATTTATATATATATATATAGTAGTATGAATTTATCACCCATGAATTGGGGGCAATTAGCCCCCCCCAACCCGGACAAGCCTTCAATTTCAGATGAGACGTAGAACATGAGCTGCGGACAAAACTCAGACATAGACAGACACACATACTCTCATACTTTCATACTTATACGTACTTACGTACGATATATTCTTATGAGAAGTTTGGAGTCACTGACACGGGAAAGTCAAAACATGTTTTTCATTTTTTCGTTTTGGCTTTCATGGCGTTTATCATTTTCGTTTTCATTGTTTTTAATTTTAGAATTTTGTTTTCATTGTTTCATTTCTAAATTGTGTTTTTAATTTCAAAATGTGGTTTCCGTTTTTGTTTTCATGTGTTCATGTCGTTCATTAACTTCTCCCAGCTGCATTTTCCATTCCTGGATCTGTTGGCGCCATTTTGCGTCTTGGGCCAAAGGTTAAAAAGGTCCTTAGATCCCACGTCCAGGGTCCCAGGACCCAGGCTTCCGGATGTGGGCCGCGGTGGTCCCCAGCTAGCACCGGGTACCCAACTAGGAGGTCCGCATTTGGTGGCTCAAATCCCGGAAATTGCCAAACTACAAAAGACTAAAAAAAGTTTTTTTTCAGTTTTTCTTTTGTTTCTTCATTTTGTTTCGCCTTCTTTTTCTTGCATTTTTTCCATCATTGGTGTCTAGAGATCTGTTTCTGAAGACGATGTTTGTATTTTTAGCTGCTTGTTTTCAATTTGGTTCTCTTGGCTCGGAAATTTGAACTAGTATGCAAGACATGTACTACTTGTAAAACTGTTGAAAACATGTTAAACCATAGGGAACACATTCAAACCAACCAAAGAAAAAACAAATTAGGACATGAAAAAAAAGAAAGCAAAAAAGCAAATGAAAACCAAAATGAGAAAATGAAAACGAACATGAACAAAATGAAAACAAACAACGAAATTTTGCAAAATTATAAAACGTGACGAACGAAATAAAACAAAACAAGATGTAAGCCAGGAACCCGAATGTATTCACGTTCTTGGATCACGAGTACAAACCTCTGCAATAGGAAA